GCACAACATCTAGACCCTGAAATAACTACTTGGACCTACCTCACTGCAGATTTTTTTTTTTTTAATAGCTCACCTGAGAATATGACAGTTTATTAAACATGGAAAGGGCCCTAAATGACAGCTCTGAGGCTGTCATTTAACCTGATTTGTGACAGTTTAATCCTATCATTTCCCTTGGCATGCCCTTTCCCCCTCATTTCCTACCCCTTCTGTCTGAAATCTCATTTGTGAGAACGTTGGCCATTTGTTTTGGGATTCCTGGACTTCCACTGCAAGCACTCAAATTGTCCTTGCATGTGCAGTAAATCCGGTGTGCTTCAAGTGTGTTGGAATTTATTGTGCAGTGCCCTGACCCAAAATGAGGTCCTCAAAACAGACAGCCTTAAAATAGGTATCATATCTCAGTTGAGTGATGACTGTGTGATCACATGAGCTCTAACCTGCCAGTCTTGACCCTCGGTGTATGCAGGGCAGCCACCAGAAGGTCCCCTCTCCATCCAAGAACAGGACAGTTGGGAGATGGAGTCTGTGGGGGTGGAAGCAGGACTATTGCACCACCAAAGGGTGGTGGAGAACTGCAGAGCGGGGCAGAAGTTGTGAGGATGGGGAGAGAGAAGAAAAGGGGGTATTAGATGCCAGCCATAACCCTTCTCACCTCTACAGGTCGGAGTATAAAGCATTAGTACATTGATGTCTTAAGAAGCCCACCCATGTATTTCAGGTGTTCACCCTGTTATAAGCTTTGATTACAGACTGAGGAAAGGAAGGAGGAAGAAGCAACAAAGTATTAAACATGTAAAACTATTAAGCAAGGCTTTCATTTATGGCAGTGGCTTCTATTCCTGTTATTCCTGTGCCTTTAGCAGTTGAAAGCTTTTAAAAGAAACATAATTCATGACATCAGCATCTGACAGTGGTCCTAAAGGTGAGCCCATTGCCATGCAGAAGAAATGCCAGAATACAGAGCTTGTTTCTGGTGACCATAGTGCCTGGCCCTGCCACCTCAATGGCAAATACCCGAAAGGGGAAAGAGAAAGAATAACACAGAGGAGAGAAAAGCAGTTTGTGTTTGGTGCTGGCTGATTTGCAACGTCAGTGCTGGAAACAGGCAGGGAGTGCAGTAACATCAGCGAAGCTTGGGCTGGCTAGGCAGGGAGGCCAGGCTGTCCCGGCCTGGCTGCAGTTGTGCTACAAGAGCCGCAACCTTGGCAAGCTAAACTAGGCGTAAGCAGAAGGTAGAAGGAAATAGAATAAGGTGGCAAAGGCATAGGAGGATGGGTGCTGGGAGGGCTGGGAAGGTCTCCAGCCCAGCATTACATCCCAGGCACACCTTTCAAGTTCTTTGCCTCCCAGGGTATGACAAGCCATGTGTTGGGTCACAAGCTTTGGGGAAAAGCATCTGCTCCGCTGAATCACAAGATGGGGAGTGACTGTGGCTCCAGGCTGTGGCTGGTGGGGAGGAACCAGGACCTAGCAGAGCTCCTTTCGGGGCAGACGTGCCCTCTAGCTAGAAGCCCATAGTGGGAGGAAGCTGTGGCTCTTCCCAGCCCATGTGAGCTACAGCCTTGACTGTTGGAGAACATGGGGTCAGGGCTGGAAGTTGCACTTGGTCTGCGGGAGCTGCTGAGTCTGCATGGGTTCACGGCCGCAGTGGGGAAAGGTAAAAGCGCCTCCACTGCCGCTGCCTCGTCAGGATGACTAAGGCCTCTTGATTCCCAGTGTGGGCATGGTCCCACAACAACAGAGCTTGGTTGTTTCACCCCACTTGCTTTCCTGGCACCAGGGTCAAATTAAGGACGTGGAGCTGGGTGACGGCTGTAACAGCCCATCCTCTCCTATAGTTGTGTTCCCAAACTAGCCCTCATTCCCAGCATGTCAGCTTTGGGTAATTGATTTCTGGTCTCTCCCACCTCTTATTTTCCAGTCAGTCTTAATTGCCAGGACTGTATTAGTTGGCCATTTAGTTTGCACTAACCCAATGACTTTTTTTTCTGCTGACCTTAAAATCTCTTTTGTACAGCAGGCTGAGTTAGACTACTCTTCCTTCAGTCAATTTATAGTAGAGGCTTCTGTGCAGACCATTAATCTTAACCTGGAGTGTTTGGATGACTTATTTAATATTAGGGAAGGATATACCAATATCTACTTATGGTCTGTAAATTAGCTGTGGGGTTTTTTGGTAACTTACTATTTATGGGCTCCCTAAGAATATGAATTCAGGTTGTGTTTGGAACAGGGAAAAGAATAAATTATTTCAAAACCATGACAATTACAGGGGATGATAACAGGGGCTAGACCACTCTTCCATGGCACTGTGAAGATGGCACATGCTATATATTTTCTTCTCCAGAACTTACTTCACTGATAAGTCAGCAGCAATGATGAGTGCACCAAATTTCTGAGGGAAAGTAGCCTGTTCTTTTTAAAAAAACAAAACAAAACACCACCACAACAAACAACCCCCCCCCAAAAAACAAACAAACAGCAACACAAAACCAAGCACATAACAACACATAACAACAACCCCCACTCACATCTCCCAGCTCAAAAGACACACACATACAATAAACCTATTTGAAACAGGCTGGTAGTAACTGCTATGGGGGTAAAGTGCAAGACTGTTCACTGAGCTACGAATCCATTTCCTCTTCACTAGGGAGAAGAAACCCACATATCAACATTCAACATGTAAGAACAAAAATCTCAAGGGAAATGATACGACTTTTGTCTCATTTTCCTTGCCACAGTACCACATTTTTGTTTTGTTGAAGAAGCAGGATTATTTGCAGAATATCAGCTCATTGTCAGCAGGCAGCTTCTCAGAGTTAATTATAAGATAACTGCACTTCGAAGCGATCTCTCATTTGGAGATGTAGAACCTTGTGAGCGTGGCTGCAGCTGTGACTCCTGCAGTCTCCTTTGGCCATGAGGTACGTTATGGGATTGGTTCTGATTTGAGGGGTGTGTAGTCCTTACTACTGATCGTAAATGGAAATAGTAATTTGAGCAGTACTTGTCATTCTGTTTTAGTGTACGTAACTTTGATGCTTGAAATGAGCAAGGAAAAGCAAGCAGCTAAGTGATGTCTGCATGCTTCTGTCCAAGAGTCTTCCACTTTGGTTCTGTGAGTGCCACTCCTGAATCTTCTCTCTTGATTTTTGTTTTAAGTGTGTCTTTGTTCCAGTGGCAGAAACAAAAGGCCTGGGATCTCCCTGTTGTGGGAGTCAAATATGTTGCTTGTCTTTGCAATGGGGATTCTCTAGACAGTTTAAAAAGAAAACAAAAAAACCCAACCAAACATAAAAAACCATCCCTGCAAAAATGTCCCTGAAATCTCTGGCCTTTTTTTCAACTGTGAATGCTGCTGTGCAGATGCCTGCTTCTTCTGACCTGCTGAATGTTGAAGCTAAAATGAAACATACCTTCTCTCTTTTTGACAGAGTTCAGCACATGTTGAGCAATTCAGAGGAGCAGTATTTTGGCACAAGCACCCAAAATTCTAACACACGCACACACGCTGCCTGATGTTTCATTTCAGATTGTAAACTGGATTACAACATGCTTTCGCCCTGTGGGCATTACCCAGGGAAACCAGGCTGGATCTGCCTGATGTCTAAAACCAATCTGGCTGAACGATTGCCAAGTGGAAAGTAAATGATGTATGCAGAATCTATATTTTTAACAGGAATTTAGATTACATTTCGGTCACGCTGAATGATTATTAATACTATTTACCTCATCAGTCCAAGAATGGAATAAATATTATATTCTGGAAATTGTGCTTAAAGAACTTAGGACAACATTTTAAACTTCTAAAATAACTATATCTGTCCTAATTAAATCACAGTAGCACAGACAGTATTTAAACCCCACATTTTTTCTTCTTGATGCAAATGGACCTTTGTGTTCTTTTATTTGTGGGAAGCTTTGTTAGCCTCAGTTAGCTGAAATACTTGCATATGATTTGTTTTTTCAAAATAAAAGATTCACTGTATTTAGAGATGCAAATACTACCTTGTCTGCAAAACCCACCAGCTGTTGTACTGGAAGACAAAGCTAATTCTATGTTGCTTTACTTCAGTAGTGTCTGTGTATTCACAAGCATCTTTTTAACAACCTTCTCTGCATAGCTGAGAAATACCAGACACCAAATTTCTTTTTATTTCCTTTGGGAATAGCCTAGTAAAATCTGAATTGATCTGTGATTTTTAAATTTTTTTTTAAACAAGTAAATAGATTAACTAAGAGAATACACCTTTGCATTAATGTTTATACAAAAGTTGAACAGACTGTTAGCTTTGATTCTTGCATTCCTTGAATATGAGTTTACTAATTTTTGCCTTAAATATTTGACTTGAGTCTGAGTGAGGTCAAATATGCAGCTCTGTAGTAGAAGAAACTGCTGCTGGTTTGTGTGTCAGTAGCACAGCTTTCTGGAGAGGTTCTTTGCTCCTGCTTTAAACATCTGGAGAGACAAAGAGCGTTTGTGGGGTCTTTTGTTGTTGCTGAAAGTTGGAGCAGGGAAGAATTACGTTCCAAGAAATACTCTGAATCCTGGAAAAATCAGGGTGGAATCGTTAAGTGTTAAGCTTTCTCTCCTTTGTAAACGAAAGTGCTTTCGTTTCATCTGTGGCGAATGTCCTGGTAATGGATGTTACGTAACTTTTACTCTCCCCTTCAGAGTTAAATCCTTTTTCCGATTTGCGAGTAATATTTGCATATGTCTGTCTTAGCGGCATTGACATGCCAGATGCACAGTGGTAGCTGTCTCCGCCTGCTAATCCTGTAATAACATGCTGGTGACCAAATTCAATGGCCCTGCGCGGAGCCTCGAAACAGCTGATTGCTGAGTAGGGAGGAAAAAAAAATAACCCAGCGAATCTCGTTGCAGCTCTCTGCTGCATCCCTATCCCACAATCCCTTGCACCATTTGCTGCAGTCTTTCTACCCAGGCTGAGTGAGAAAAAGATGTGCTAAATAAAGATTGATTGGTCTGAATCCTGAAGGGGTCTCCCACTCGTAAATGACCCGGGGGAAAAAAAAAAATTCATGACGACTTCACTGGGCCTCCTCTTATTCTTTCATTTTTCTTTCCACCTGTCCTCTTCGTGGAATGGAGCGTCATTCCTTACAGCACAAAATCTGTTGTGCATCTAAGAATGACTATGCTGTGATAGGGATTCTTAAGCAGTTTTACGCGTGAGGCTTGAAATATTAACAGATGATGGTTTGTTCGTTTGGATTACTGCGGAACTGCAGCTCCGTCCCTGCAAGGATTTTATCCTCAGCACTGCACTGATTAAGCTATTTTTCTACAAAGATGGGTAGGTCTAAAATGCTCAAGTTTGCTCAGTGTTATTCCTGGTGGCTGCTGCTGGGTTGCTCCTTCTGTTTCGGCCCCCGATCGTTCATTATGCTTCTGCATGCTGTAAGAATGAAGAGGGTTGCTGTGTTTTAAACAAGGCACCAAGCTGATTGCAAGAGTGGGAGAGAAAGGAATGCAAATTTAGCTTATCAAGCCTTTTACACAAGTGGACTGTGTGGCGGTTATGATTATTAATTTGCTCGGTGTGTTCTGTATCGGCTAATTTTGGGGCTGCTGCTAGAAATAGCTTGAATCTGTTCTTTATTCCTAAAGACTGTGGACAGGCGATATATCTGTTTTAAGGACTTTTAAACCCCAGCTCCCCCAATCCTTGAACCACCATTATTGAGGTTCCCCACCCTTTCTTATGGCTCTCAAGGCCTAACCGTTCCTTTGGAAACGTTGCCATTGGAAACCTATTCATTCATAATACATGAATAGACCCTCCGGGTTGTGAATACCATTGATAAGAGGAGGATGAACAAGCTGCAAGCCATTTGTTCTCCTCAGGCTGTACTTTCAGGCTAGTTGCAGCCCTGGCTGGGTGGAGTTCGGTGATAGTGTGTATCAGCAACGGAGAATTTTGCTCTTTTAGGAATAAATCCTGGGAACTGAACAGACAGTTTACAAGTTTTCCCAATGTCTTTTTCTTGGCCGGGCCACGGAGACGAATAGAGAATTCGGTAACTGTTGAGGAATTCCAGAGCTCATTTGAAGATATATGTAGCAAGGGTGCACTTCCCTATTACATGGCTCTATTTATCTGAAACAACTCTTCTGGAACTGTTATTTGCTGTACCCTAACATTTTTTTTTTCCCTGTTCTAATACTATAGGAAGTTCTTTTCATATGGGTGGGGCCACACCCTGACTTTCGTTCCCAAAGGCATGCATGCATAGCAGGGCAAGGCTTTCCACTAGCTTAGAGAGCCATTGTTTTCTCCTTTCTTTGCTGTATAGTATATTTTGAATGAAAATCGATAGTCATATCTCCAAGCAGAAGGAAAAAGAACAATGTTACTTTTGCGGTGGCTGGAAAGGTAGCAACCCTCGAGCCTCGAAGGGGTGACAAAGGGTATACATTTTGGAAACCTTTGCTGCACTTGATTTAGCAAACCTGAACTGGGTTTCCTGTGTGTGCTTCTGATAGATAAATGGGTGGGGTTTTATGTCGTTTGGTGCAATGTTTCACAACCCTTGGCTTTGCATGTTTAAATTATGAAGTGTAAATACATGGAGAAGTGATTCTCAGGCTTATTTTCAAAGCTCATGCTTCAGCTGCTCTATATTAGATTGTGAGACAGAATGAACCTCCAAAAAGAGCTCTGGCAGTTTCCGAGCTGAGAAGATGCTCTACAAAAAAGAATGTTTTTCTTGTAAAAATAGTGTTACGTTGCAAAATTTCCCACTGCTAATGTATCTGAAACTTACAGTGCAGTTTTGAGGAACTGCTGCGAGTACTGCAGTAAATCAGAATAAATGCTGTCTTTGGCGAAATTCAAAAGCATCATCTAAAATCTCTAGCTTTTCCTCAAATAGTCATTGATTGTACTATTGCTTTCATTGAGTCAATGGGCAAAATCATCCATCTCGTAACTACATCACACTCATCAAAATTGCATCAAAGGTGGAGTTGACTCAGGAAGGCTGCAGAATCCTGGAAATTCCATACTCAAAAAACTTTTTTAAATGAACCCTTGTTCATTTAAAGTTTAAGTAAGAAGTTATTGTACCAAGTAGTGGCCAAAGCTTGAAATGTACTGGTGAAATTCTGTTTTCAGGTGCATGTTTTAAACCTGATTTATGTGAGCACAGGGGATAAATTACAATCATGGCCTGCTGCGTTCCAGACAAAACAGCAAATATTAAAAGCACTTATTTCTGAATTGTTAATGGTTTCTTTCATTGACAAAGCTTAAAGCATGAACATTTGAAAATTAAAGTGACTGGAATGAGCTTTGTGTACGAAACACTAAGAATCACTTGATTTTGCAGTGAGATTGGGGGAATGTAAAAGACTAAGGTGAAGATGAGATGAAATCGATATGAAATTTTTCAGGCAGCAGCAGGATTTTTCCTTGTATAAACACTGTTTGCTGGTGTAGCTGTACTTGGTGGCGGAAAGATGAAATTACAGAAAATATCTGCTTGTTAGAGAACTTTCTTCTGTTAAATGGCAAGCAGCATTCACTGGAGACCTTTCATATCTTAATTACAATTTTTTTTTTTTTTTAATAATCTGTGCTTAGTCTATAACAAAAAAATTATACTGTTCATAACATATCGCTGTCCTTCTTATCAAAGAAGTCTTCCTCCTCCTGATTATCTTGCCTGTTTTGTTTGGGTCCCCGCCCCTAACTTT